ACACATACATGAATATGATTCACTAACTTTGAACAGAAAATCTCTATCCATGCTTTGTTCCAAAATTAAATTCCTTGAATTGGACCAACCATTTTTATTGGGTTATACATTGTCTAAAGAAGTAACAAAGTAAGGATAACTATCCATAATTCAAAAACTTCTTATTGTTCATGGATCTTGTTAAACCTTTCATTTTATTAGGTCTACAAGCTCCTTTGATTTTAGACATCTAACGCAAAGCCTACCAATCCCAACGCAATGAGAAAAAGCAACACAAGTTCTTAAGATGCTTAAGCTTTTTTGAGTAATAACTATTTCGCCCCTTAAAAATAAATAGCAGTTTGCGGCAAAATAGCCTTTTGTTAAACAAAATAAGCCACCGTATCTCATTCTCGTTAAAGATATCGGAAGTGCCTATATAGCACATTTGAATAAATCACTAATTTAATCCTACTTCAATTCTCCTCTATTCCTTTTCCCCTTCTTGGATTCAGCGTATGAAGGAAGAAGCAACTTGTCATGATATCTAGAATTGTTGCTTTGTCAACCACCATCCTCGCAGCCATGGTCACCACACCTCCAGAGGGACCAATGATCAACCACAACAAAATGCGCACCCGGCTAAAGCTCTGCCAGTGCTTTTTCCCTTTACACATCCACCGTGAGCAGAACTACAAGAAAAGAAACAAGGGCGAGGATCCATTGTTAAATGCCTAAATCGGTTGCAGTATGGGAGAAAAAGGGAACTTCATCTTTTTCATTCAAGCTTTTATGATCTGAAAATCAAAGGAAACGACCAAACATTTGAATTGAAACCACAGTTCACATATGACATAAATTACATTCATTTTCTGCATCTTATTTCACTCTAATCAAATACATTGGCAACTTCATTAGTTTAAGTGAACTTAAAGCCAGCAGCACTCCTTGGAGATGAATTTTTCCTCATAACTTGTCCTCAAGAATCGTTGAAAGCAACAACCCTTGAACAAAGGTGCACCGTTTCGCTTTCTCTTCCTTATCCTTGTCTGATAAGGTACTTGTCTTCACATTTCTGAACAGAAACAATCAGA